GACAGGTGTCTTTTATACTGATAACAAGTTCAAACAGGTGCCATTAAATCAGGTAACGAGTGGAGGACAGAGGAGCCTCTTAAAGAAGAAGTTACAGGTCTGTGAGAGCCAGAAATCTTACTTGTTTGTAGGTGACCAAATACTTATTTTCCACCATCATTTGCAAATAAATTCATTAAAAATCCTACAATGTGATGTTCTGGATTTTTTTTTCTCAATTTGTCTGTCATAGTTGGCGTGTACCTATGATGAAAATCACAGGCCTCTCTCATCTTTTTAAGTGGGAGAACATGCACAATTGTTGGCTGACTAAATACTTTTTCCCCCCACTATACATAGCCCTAAACAATTTGATTGTAACATCATTTATAATATCACACTGGGCCTGGCAACTGTATTCTATAATTAGTGTCATTGTTGACCCTATGCAGAGTATTACATTCCCAGTGTCTTCTACAAAATGTCAGAATATTGTTAGAAAATCAGCATCAATCGTTATTTACACTATAAACCATTGATTGTATGAGAGACAGTCTGCCAAAACATGCTTTTTATGTTTTGGTGCTGCATTTTACTGTACATGCACTGAAACACCAACAATGGTTTTCACAAGACTCTTTTTAAAAACACCAATATTCAGATTGAAGAACCATTTTCGGTATTTCAGAGTACATCCCATTCTGTTTTGAAAATGCATTCAGTGTATCATAACACTTACATTGGGTTTACATTCAAACACCCTCCAAACACCAGATCTCCGCTTAGGTGCACAAATGTTCATGGTTTTCACTACACAATGATGGTGTTTTGAGTGTTTTTATTTTGAGCTGTGTAGGAAAGCAGATCTGGACCCAAAGTTAGGGAGGAAGAAACTTGACGCAGAGACGCTTTGGTCAAATCCCTCTTCAGTAATAACGGGAAAGAGTTGCAGTTATTTTCAGAGTGGGTGGCAAGGAATAAGTTAGTCCTAAATATTTCTAAAAACTAAAAGCATTGTATTTGAGACAAATCATTCACTAAACCCTAAACCTCAACTAAATATTGTAATGAATAATGTGGTAATTGAGCAAGTTGAGGTGACTAAACTGTTTGGAGTAACCCTGGATTGTAAAACTGTCATGATCAAAACATGTCGATACAACACTAGCTAAGATGGGGAGAAATATGTCCATAATAAAGCTTTGCTCTGCCTTCTTAACAGCACTATCAACAAGGCAGGTCCTACAGGCCCTAGTTTCGTCACACCTGGACTACTATTCAGTCGTGTGGTCAGGTGCCATAAAGAGGTTCTTAGGAAAATTGCAATTGGCTCAGAACAGGGCAGCACGGCTGGCCCTTGGATGTACACAGAGAGAGCTAATATTAATAATATGCATGTCGATCCCTCCTGGCTCAAAGTGGAGGAGAGATTGACTTCATCGCTACTTGTGTTTGTGAGAGGTGTTGACATGTTGGGTGCACCGAGCTGTCTGTTTGAGCTACTGGCACACAGCTCGGTCACCCATGTATACCCCACAAGACATGCATGGTCTCTTCACTGTCCCCAAGTCCAGAACAGACTATGGGAAGGCGCACAGTACTACATAGAGACATGACTACATGGAACTCTATTCCACATCAGGTAACTGATGCAAGTAGTAGAATGATATTTAAAAAACTGATTTAAAAAAATACCTATGGAACAGCGGGGACTGTGAAGCAACACATACATAGACACAGACAAATACATATACACACATGATAACATACACTCTATACAGACACGTACACATGGATTTTGTACTGTAGATATGTGGTAGTGGTGGAGTAGGGGCCTGAGGGCACACAGTGTGTTGTGAAATTTGTGAATGTATTGTAATGTTTTTAAAATGGTTTAAACTGCCTTAATTTTGCTGGACCCCAGGAAGAGTAGCTGCTGCCTTGGCAGGAACTAATGGGGATTTTTAATAAATCCCAGGAAGAGTAGCTGCTGCCTTGGCAGGAACTAATGGGGATCCATAATAAACCCCAGGAAGAGTAGCTGCTGCCTTGGCAGGAACTAATGGGGATCCATAATAAACCCCAGGAAGAGTAGCTGCTGCCTTGGCAGGAACTAATGGGGCTCCATAATAAACCCCAGGAAGAGTAGCTGCTGCCTTGGCAGGAACTAATGGGGATCCATAATAAATACATAATAAATACAAATACAAATAGGAAAAATATAGAAGGACCCAGACCTAGCAGACGTAGCAGGGAGGAGGACCCAGGCCTAGAAGGGAGGAGGACCCAGGCCTAGCAGGGAGGAGGACCCAGACCTGTCTAAAAGAAGATAACTCCGTCTGAGATGGTAATTTCACAGATATTTGCTGAATAGATTTTCTATTCTCCTAGACCACGTGGTGTGATGAGAATCTGATGAGCCAATATTGTCTTTTCTCAGCTAATGCCAGGGTTTCTTTCTTAATGCATTATCCATAGTCCAGGAAACCACTAAAGTCTTGTGCTGGAATTACATTTCCATTTTTGTTTTAAAGGGCAATTCTATTTCTGTTCCTTTCTCTGTTAGAATACTGAATGTGACTGTTACAAAGGACTCTTGGAAAAGATCTCTGACCAAAACATTGAGAATAATCATGCAGCGGTAAAATTGAAACCTGCGGGAGTTTCTACACTTTTACAATGTACTTCAGCCTCCAACAAGAGATCCTTTATTACAGGTGGTTGAGGTAGGTTCAATTTCCTGGCTCAGGCTATTCCACCCTCAATCGCTACACGAGTCACAATGAAGAAAAACCCAGCCTGGATGCCATCTTTTCCTCAAATCAAGGGCGTGCAGTCAGTGGATAAATATAAACAAATGCCAATGTAATGTTGATTTGACCTTTGACTTTTATCAACATAATGTTGTCTCACTACAACTAAACAGATTTGACCCTTGACTTTTATCAACATAATGTTGTCTCACTACAACTAAATAGATTTGACCCTTGACTTTTATCAACGTAATGTTGTCTCACTACAACTAAATAGATTTGACCCTTGACTTTTATCAACGTAATGTTGTCTCACTACAACTAAATAGATTTGACCCTTGACTTTTATCAACATAATGTTGTCTCACTACAACTAAATAGATTTGACCCTTGACTTTTATCAATGTAATGTTGTCTCACTACAACTAAATAGATTTGACCTTTGACTTTTATCAACATAATGTTGTCTCACTACAACTAAATAGATTTGAACCTTTACTTTTAGCAATGTAATGTTGTTTCACTACAACTAAATAGAGTGACACGGACTTTGACAACTCATATCCTCTCTCACTCTCATCTCTAGGCATAAAGAGCGAGTCTGACGAAAACAAGATGTAACCTTGAAGACAGTGATGAAGTCATACCGAAGCTTTTACGTTCCTGCGATACCACTCCCATAAGCATTCTCGTTGTAGAGCACGCCTCTAGCCTAGACGCGTCAAGAAAGCTAGAAGCAGTACAACGCAGCTAGCGAAGAGAATTGAGGAGAGAGAGACGAGAGTGAGAGAGAAGGAGGAGTAACAGGCGGACTAGATCAGACGAGATGACCGCCAGATACGGAGAAGAGAGATAAGAGGCAATACGAGAAGCAGAAGAGGGGAGTAGTCACGACGAAACCGCAGAGAGCAGCAGCGTCAGAGGCGCCGCGCGAGCGCTGAAGCGCACGAGAGCAGATGAGAAAGAGAGCAGAAGGCAGGAATAACGCAGCAAGAGCAAAGGGAACGTGCACAAATGGGCACAGAGCGTGAAGAACACAAGAGCCACGAGAGACGGCGCGAGATAGAGAGCGCGCAGCGAACGCCGCCCAACCCCTCTACCTCGCGAGCTCGCCATATCTCTCCCTCTCCTTCTCCAATCCTCCCTCTTCTCCGCTCTCTCTCCAGTTTTCCCTCTCCTCTCTCACTCTCTCTCCTCTCTATCGCTCCCTCTCTCTCTCTCTCCTCCTATCTCTCTATTCTTCTCTCTCTCTCTATCTACCCCACCCCCTCTCTCTCTCTCTCTCTTCTCTTCTCTCTCTCTCTCTCTCTCTCCTCTATCGTCTCCTCTCTCATCTCTGTCTCTCTCACTCTCTCTCTCCCTCTCTTCATGTGTCCCTGAATCTGCCCTTTCTCATTCTCCTCTTTTAATCAAAGGACCAATCACAGTTCACACTAAGCCTTCATTAAAGGACCAATAACAGTTCACACTGAGCCATTATTAAAGGTTAGAAGAGAGAGAGACGGTGGGTGAATAGAGGGAGGGAGAGACGTAGGGGAGAAAAGAGAAGAGGAGGAGGGAGAGAGAGAGAGAGGGAGAGAAGAGGAGGGAGAGAGAGAGAGAGGGTGAGAAGAGGAGAGAGAGAGAGAGACGGAGGGAGAGAAGAGGAGGGGGAGAAGAGGAGGGAGAGAGAACAGAGGGAGAGAGAGACGGAGGGAGAGAAGAGGAGGGAGAGAGCGACAGAGGGAGAAGAAGAGGGAGAGAAGAGGAGGGAGAGAGAGACGAAGGGGGAGAGAGGTGGAGGGAGAGAAGAGGAGGGAGAGTGAGTGAGATGGAGGGGGAGAAGAGGAGGGGGAGAAGAGTATGGGGAAAAGAGGAGGAAGAGAAGAGGAGGGAGAGAAGAGGAGGGAGAGAAGAGGAGGGAGAGAAGAGGAGGGGGAGAAGAGGAGGGGGAGAAGAGGAGGGGGAGAAGAGGAGCGAGAGAGAGACGGAGGGGGAGACACACACACACACATAGGCACTTCACCTCCATAATAAAGATAAAACCTTGATAACAATTGAATACCTTCTTCTGGCATGTGACTTTTCAGTGGAACCGAAATACAACATTGTTACATTGTTTTACCTATGCAGTTACAAAGGTTATAGGTCTGTTTTTGAAAGTATTGAATGTCCTCCGTCATGATTATCATCAAAAGCAATTCAATCTTATTTGAGGGAAAATAGATTATTGAATCAAGAAAATTGTCTGCATAGAGGCATTTTCAATCACAGCAATACAACACAACCCTACCTGTTGGTCATGATGTCATTACCCTGCCTGTTGGTCATGATGTCATTACCCTGCCTGTTGGTCATGATGTCATTACCCTGCCTGTTGGTCATGATGTCATTACCCTGCCTGTTGGTCATGATGTCATTACCCTGCCTGTTGGTCATGATGTCATTACCCTGCCTGTTTGTCATGATGTCATTACCCTGCCTGTTTGTCATGATGTCATTACCCTGCCTGTTTGTCATGATGTCATTACCCTGCCTGTTGGTCATGCTGTCATTACCCTGCCTGTTGGTCATGATGTCATTACCCTGCCTGTTGGTCATGATGTCATTACCCTGCCTGTTTGTCATGATGTCATTACCCTGCCTGTTGGTCATGATGTCATTGTTGGTGGAATCAGTTCGATAACCCTCTAATTACTAAATTGTTGACTCTAGAAAACGTCCTGAGACTCTCTCGGATGAACAATGTAGGGTGCAATTTAGGCGGAAGGAGATTGGACATGTGCTAATCTCGTGCTAACATTTCCAAGTCTGCCTTTCTATTTGAAATGTGATGTATGCCTTTGGAAACCTAGTCTACATTCCGAATGGCACTCTTTTCTCTATATAGTGCACTACTTTAGACCAGGGCCCAAGGTAAGGAGCTGTTATCCTGCCTGTGGTGTTGATAATGTGTCAAGAGATATCTGCATCCTAAATGGCACCCTATTCTCCATATAGTGCACTACTTTTGACCAGGGTTCATCTGGCACTTTTCAAAATAGTGCTCTAATTAGGGAACAGGGTGCCATTTTCAGATGCACTCTCAGATTCAACATGATGGAGAAGCATATTACATCCTTCGTGGGGAAAGCCCTTGGAAGGAGGTAAGAGATTGTAGGAAGGTGATGCTCTTGGTCTTCATTTGAAATTATGGACAGGATACTCTGTCTTGATAAACAGAAAATAAGATTGTTCTTGCAATAGGACCCATGTTCGCTCAATACCCAGGAATATAGTCATATACAGTGGGGAGAACAAGTATTTGATACACTGTCGATTTTGCAGGTTTTCCTACTTACAAAGCATGTAGAGGTCTGTAATTTTTATCATAGGTACACTTCAACTGTGAGAGACGGAATCTAAAACAAAAATCCAGAAAATCACATTGTATGATTTTTAAGTAATTAATTTGCATTTTATTGCATGACATACGTATTTGATCACCTACCAACCAGTAAGAATTCCGGCTCTCACAGACCTGTTAGTTTTTCTTTAAGAAGCCCTCCTGTTCTCCACTCATTACCTGTATTAACTGCACCTGTTTTAACTCGTTATCTGTATAAAAGACACCTGTCCACACACTCAATCAAACAGACTCCAACCTCTCCACAATGACTAAGACCAGAGAACTGTGTAAGGACATCAGGGATACAATTGTAGACCTGCACAAGGCTGGGATGGGCTACAGGACAATAGGCAAGAAGCTTGGTGAGAAGGCAACAACTGTTGACGCAATTATTAGAAAATGGAAGAAGTTCAAGATGACGTTCAATCACCCTCGGTCTGGGGCTCCATGCAAGATCTCACCTCGTGGGGCATCAATGATCATGAGGAAGGTGAGGGATCAGCCCAGAACTACACGGCAGGACCTGGTCAATGACCTGAAGAGAGCTGGGACCACAGTCTCAAAGAAAACCATTAGTAAAACACTACGCCGTCATGGATTAAAATCCTGCAGCGCACACAAGGTCCCCCTGCTCAAGCCAGCACTTGTCCAGGCCCGTCTGAAGTTTGCCAATGACCATCTGGATGATCCAGAGGAGGAATGGGAGAAAGTCATGTGGTCTGATGGGACAAAAATATAGCTTTTTGGTCTAAACTCCACTCGCTGTGTTTGGAGGAAGAAGAAGGATGAGGACAACCCCAAGAACACCATCCCAACCGTGAAGCATGGAGGTGGAAACATCATTATTTGGGGATGCTTTTCTGTAAAGTGGACAGGACGACTGCACCGTATTAAGGGGAGGATGGATGGGACCATGTATCGCGAGATCTTGGCCAACAACCTCCTTCCCTCAGTGAGAGCATTGAAGATGGGTCGTGCCTGGGTCTTCCAGCATGACAACGACCCGAAACACACAGACAGGGCAACTAAGGAGTGGCTCCGTAAGAAGCATCTCAAGGTCCTGGAGTGGCCTAGCCAGTCTCCAGACCTGAACCCAATAGAAAATATTTGCTGGGAGCTGAAAGTCCGTATTGCCCAGCGACAGCCCCGAAACCTGAAGGATCTGGAGAAGGTCTGTATGGAGAAGTGGGCCAAAATCCCTGCTGCAGTGTGTGCAAACCTGGTCAAGACCTACAGGAAACGTATGATCTCTGTAATTGCAAACAAAGGTTTCTGTACCCAATATTAAGGTCTGCTTTTCTGATGTATCAAATACTTATGTCATGCAATAAAATGCAAATTAATTACTTAAAAATCATACAATGTGATTTTCTGGATTTTTGTTTTAGATTTCGTCTCTCACAGTTGAAGTGAACCTATGATAAAAATGACAGACCTCTACATGCTTTGTAAGTAGGAAAACCTGCAAAATCGCCAGTGTATCAAATACTTGTTCTCCCCACTGTATCACAACCAAATCTATAATGTGAGTTTACCATGTTCTTACATGTTACCGTGAACAAAAAAAAAACATGCTAATTACCCTGATAATAAAACTTTTGATACACTCCAGTTCTTCTTTATGTCTAATCAATATTAATTAAGTAGCCTTGTCTGAGCCAGAACGTCCCATTGGGCAGGAGCCTATCTCATGTTACTGCAGAGAGTGAAGCAGCTTGATGTACAAGTACGCCCCCTAGACAGAACGCTAGTCTGTTTCCTGTTTCTGCAGAGTGAGGCAGCTTGACCCCCTGGAGAGGACACTAGTCTGTTTCCTGTTTCTGCAGAGTGAGGCAGCTTGACCCCCTAGAGAGGACGCTAGTCTGTTTCCTGTTTCTGCAGAGTGAGGCAGCTTGACCCCCTAGACAGATTTCTTTCTTATTGAATTGCAGAATCAGATTTTCATGCATCCAGGGCTGGTTTTTTTGTGTGTGTGTGTGTGTGTGTGTGTGTGTGAGAGTGTAATGTGCCTAGATTTCTGTTTCCAGACTAAATAAAACGTCTAATTGTTGTGTCTTGAAGAGCACAGATTGCTGAACAGCTGGTGCTGATGAGCAAGGACTTTCAAGCAGGTAACAGCTTGTCAGATAAATACGTGTGATTTGTATTTCTCTATTTCAATAAGGACAAACAACTAATATAAACAACACTCTGATGATCCAGTAGGTTAAGGCAGAACCGACTGAGTTGATGATCCATTAGGTTAAGGCAGAAGCTACTGAGTTGATGATCCATTAGGTTAAGGCAGAAGCTACTGAGTTGATGATCCATTAGGTTAAGGCAGAACCTACTGAGTTGATGATCCATTAGGTTAAGGCAGAACCTACTGAGTTGATGATCCATTAGGTTAAGGCAGAAGCTACTGAGTTGATTTATGAGCAAAATAATGTTTTAATTATATACCCAGGCTTTTATTTCTTTTTTTTTTTTTTTAAATTTGTATCATGTTAAATATTATCCACTATCGGGAGCCACCGTCAGTAATTCCCATATATATTTAAAACTGTCACTTTAGTGTTAGTTTCTTTCGATTTGTAGACTACATTTTTTGCATTCTTCCATTCCATTCCGTTTACCTTTTACTCTGTCACGTCCGTGTATTTGTTCCTGAGGGTTGCTAGCAATAGTGGATCATATTAGGCTAATGTTGTGCAATAATTTGGGACGTGTTGCCTATTTGAATCATTGTGGAACTCAGACCACAGACAGCAGTTAAAACCTGGATCCTGGCGCAAGGTTCATGATGACTGGACCGTTGTCATCACAGTGCCACGATTAGGATGAATCAAACCAATGTATATTTTATTCACCTATATATTTTGTGCATAAAGGCTCTCCAAACTAGATTTTTTAAAAAATGATTCATAAATACAAACCCTAAATTATCTAGTTCTGAGTATTTTAAATCTACCAATTGGTGCTGAAACAGTGACGAATATGCATATATTTAGATGGCTTTCTTTAATTGATCTCTAATATTCTGAACCCGTTCTCTCAACATATTATATTGAGTCTGTAGAGAAAACTCTAATTAAAGGTACACTGTATTTAAAGTGGCACTCCAGTCTCCTTTTCACCTCATTTAACACCTGATTGACTTAACACAAGGCACATCTCAATAGGTGGTTCAGGTACAGTGCCTTGCAAAAGTTTTCATCCCCCTTGGCATTTTTTCCTATTTTGTTACATTACAACCTGTAATTTAAATGGATTTTTGTTTGGATTTCATGTAATGGACATACACAAAATAGTCCAAATTGGTGAAGTGAAATGAAAAAAACTACTTGTTTCAAAAAAGTCTAAAAAATAAATAACGGAAATGTGGTGCGTGCATATGTATTCACCCCCTTTGCTATGAAGCCCCTAAATAAGATCTGGTGCAACCAATTACCTTCAGAAGTCACATAATTAGTTAAATAAAGTCCACCTGCGTGCAATCTAAGTGTCACATGATCTCAGTATATATACACCTGTTCTGAAATGCCCCAGAGCCTGCAACACCACTAAGCAAGGGGCACCACCAAGCAAGGGGCACCATGAAGACCAAGGAGCTCTCCAAACAGGTCAGGGACAAAGTTGTGGAGAAGTACAGATCAGAAGGTGCAATAGAGCCTCTTCAACCTCAGGAGGCTGAAGAAATTTGGCTTGGCACCTAAAACCCTCACAAATTTTTTACAGATGCACCATTGAGAGCATCCTGTCGGGCTGCACCACCGCCTGGTACGGCTACTGATCCTAGATCAGCACCTACTCTGAGCTGCTCTGTGAATATAGGCCCAGAAGTCTGCAATGGAAACCAAACCTCTACGGTGCATTAAACACAATCAGCAGTTAAATAGATTTTTTTTTAAATGTCTCCGGCAGCATCAATCTAACTATGATAGACAGTAAGCTAAAGTATTTACCTATATCCCTGACACAGACTGCACATTCATTTACATATTTTCCACAGAAAGGAGCCACTAAGACTTGTTGAACTGAGAAGTAATGACAGATTAATATAGCTGAGTGCTGAGCCACACACACACACACACACACACACACACACACACACACACACACACACACACACACACACACACACATACACACACACACACAAACACGCAGACTCCATCCACATTTCTCACTTCAATTTTTTATCACTTCTGCCCAGTTCTCTCCTCTGGGGAAAGTGGGGCAGAGAGAGATAGGAGTTAGAGTTTTTATTTTATTTAATCAAATTAAT